ATAAATTAATAACAAATTTATGATTACCCAATAACCCAAAGAATAAATAAATAAAAGTATAAAACAATTCAAATAGGAATTTAAATTTTTTATTTCATTTAAATTTGAATGAATAATGATACAAATTACAAAACATACAATTATACAAATATTGAAATTATGAAATATACAATGGTTGGATACTTCATAAACTTCATACTTGGATAGTTGGATGAATGAAGTATGAAAATGGAATAAATTAATAAAATATAAAAAATACAATATAGAATTATAGACTATATAGTTACAAGTTGAAAATACAAAATTACATTAATAGCAAATAAATTAAATAAAATTAAAACAAAATTAATAATAATTTGACAAAATAAAAAATTATGGGTTATTTGTTAAAATTTACATATACATTATGATGAAAACATTCACACACACTTTCATCATCTCCTTCAAGTGAAAAACCAAATATCCGGTGTATGTAGTACAGTAGTACTGTAGTAGTCTGTAGTATCATGCCCTCCTTTGTCTTGTAATTGTAAAGTTGTAATCTATATTCTGCATTATAATTCATAACTGCATCTAGCCAACCCTGGTAGGCTGGTACAGTGGTTGTGTCGTAGTGTGGTACTTGCAGGTCCTGCACTAAAACAATGAAACAAAACTCCAATGGAACTATAGCTTGTAGACACCGGAGGGGTTAGTAGATCACGGATCACGTGCCATGGCGGGATTGGTGGCAAGAAATGTTCTCCAAGACTCTGACTTCTCCCAATATTTTTAAAATTTATTTTCGATTATTTCAAAAATTCATTTAAATTGTGGGTTATTTCTTCTTTCTTCACATGTGTTTGAAAATGTCTAGTCAAATGGCTAGTACCACCCTTGCTACAATAGCTAAAGTCTTTTCTACATTTTTAGCAAATTGCTCTTTTCTCCTTCCCCTCAACATCCTCTATTTTAAATATTCTCCAAATCAGGCTACTAAACTTGGGGTTTTGGGAAGAGCTAGCCATTTTTTTTTTCAAATTCTAAAAAAAAATAAAATTAATTTAATTGGACTTACCCCGAAACCCTGAATTGTCGGTTCATAATCCCAACTTGATTTCAACGATTAAAGCCTTTCAACGTGACAACGTCCAAGGCTCCAAGCCTCCCAAATTACTAATTTGGAGAATCAGACAATCAACCAATCAGACTATGAGACTATCAGAGTTCACTTAGATGGCAGAGAATGTATGAGAGACTGAAAGAGACTTAGAGAGGAAAGACCGAAGATATTAAGAGAATAACTTAATAGGAGAATTGAATGTTGATTGTTGAATTGGTGTGATGAGAATGGTGGAGGATAGGGCTATTTATAGGAATTGAACATAATTCAATTACCCAAAATACCCAAAAAACTATCTGTTATTTAGTTGTTGGAAGGGGTATTTTGGTCATTGTAAAGTTACTTATAACTTTACCCAAAATGCCCCCTAAACTAAGTTATTATATAGCTATTGGGGGGCATTAATGTCATTTTTCAACCCCCATAAGAAAAACACACAAATACCCCCCTAATATGGCAGTTTATAGTTGTTGGGGGGGGTATCCCAAAAAGCTGAAACTAGCCATTGGGCCCCTTCTGGGGGGAGGAGGGGGGGGCGAGCGCGGCCTATTACAGGCCTGGGGGGCCATGCTGTGCCAGCCCGTGGTAGACTGTGTTTCGTGTCATGCCACGAGCGGCATGGTGCCATGCCATGCCAGCCCATAAGCCTCGAACCCCCAACCTAGCACGACACGAACTTCCATACCGGGCCTAGCACAACCCATTAGCCATCGTGCCTTACCAGGCCGGTCCAAAATCATATCGGCCCGGCCCGGTCCGATTTACACCTCTAGGCACGGCCCGTGACAGCCCGCGGCGCACTTTACACCATTACCATTCCTTGCCAAATCTTATTATTACCCACATCCACTCCCCCTTCTTTTTACTTTTCGATCCTCTTAAATTTTGGTTTCTTTTTTTTCTTTTTTCCAATTACCCCATTCCATTTTTTATGCCTAATCCCCAAGATATAGAAAATTTTGTTCCTCGAGCCATTGTGGGCCCCACTCATTAAAGTCTATGTTCCCCCACCCTTTTTTGAGCATAGGTCGTCACTGCCCTCTCGATCGTGCGACTCTTCATCTCCCTTCCCGTCTTCTTCTTTGTTTGCTACATTACATTAGAGGACTAAAATTCGTTTCTCCGTGAATTTCCTCTTTTACCCTTTAAGGGGATTCTTTTCGCCTCCTTCCTCCTTCCCCTCCTATTGATTCCTCTCCCTCGTTTCTTTCTCCTTCCCCCACATCGTCTGAACTTGCGGGCCCTTCCACTATTTTTCTGTCGATCTAGTCTAGTCGGAATTTCTCCAACCTAAAAAGGTGAAGTCGTCGCCTTCAATTAGAATCTTGAATTCATAAACTTCGCCTGCAAACTTCAGATTTGCCAGGTTTGGAACTTCTAAAACTTCCTCCACCGCTACTAGTCCTTGCGAAATCCAACTTGTCCCAGGATCTGTTCCTATCATCAAAATGTAGGAACTCGCCGCAATGGTTTCTATCAGCCTCGAAAGTCGCTATATTCCAAGCATGCAAGGGGATTCCAATCATGTCGATCCATATGGCCCTTCTCTTTCTTTGGTGAGACAGGGTACCAGCCGTCGGAAACCACCAGTCGAGCCTGAGATTGAAACCCCTCTCCTCCGCAATCTCTTGATTCAACAGTCTCCGCCATCTCCTTGCTATGAAACATAAACAAGATTAGTCCCACATTTAGTTTCCTCACTCCCAATAACTTCTCCTTCCCCTACTCTACCTTCGCCCAGACTTCCACCTCATACTCCAAACCCACGAATCTACCCACTAGACTCGCTTCCAGAACCTGCATTCTCTCGGCCATCTTCCCTAGCCCTCGCACATCCACCTCAATCTCCGTCATCTTTCACAGAAACGAGAGGAATTACTATATGAAGCAGCTCGGAAAAAATTAAACACTATTAGTACAAGTGTAACACATTATTGACTGTAGAAAAAATATGCCAACATATAGGGCCTTCCGCCAAGGTTCAAATATGGGAACCTAACTGCATGGAAAGGCAATTTTAAATATTTGTATCGGGATAGACTTGGATACGCATGCTGGGAGAAAAATTAAGATAGATATAAATATGCTTAGAAATACTATAAATGTTTTAATAAATTATAAAAATATATTAATAATATTAAATATAAGACTTCAATGAGATGTATATACATTAAATTAATATATTTTAATGATTTTGTGGAGAAATATATTATAGTTAATTATAATTTCATTAAAAATCTTATGCTTAACTATCATTTATAAATTACAATTCTTAAGTTTTAATGTGTTATGGGATGGTAAAACCCAACTTTCCTATCCAACCATAAAACATGCATTGGCACTGCTAAGTGAAAATATAATCAATAATTATTTATTATTTATTTTCAAAAATTATAAAAATAAATAAACATTATATAATATATTCAAAAAATAGTTATTAAAGAAGAAATTTCAATTGCTTTGTGGATATGATAGATCATCCATAGAATTATAATATATTTAATCATTGGGATCAAATGATAAAATATAATTAATTATTTTTTTATTTATAAAAATATAAAAATAAAAAATAATTATTAAATAAGAAATTTCAATTGGTCTGTGGATATGATAGATCATCCATAGAATTATAATATATTCAATTGTTGTGATCAAATGATAAAATATAATTAATTATTAATTATTTTTAATTCTTAAAATATAAAAAATAAAAAAAATACTAAAGAAGAAATTTCAATTGCTCTATGGATATGATAGATAAATCCATAGATCTAAAACATATTTAGTCCTTATAGGCAGAGAAAAATTACATTTTCAAAATTTTTATTAATCTATGTTTCCCCAAATATCTTCATGAAATTTCCATAAATTTATTAATAACACAATAAATTATGATTTTGAATGTAAGAAATGTAGATCAACATAAATTTAAACATTCAAGAAAAAAAAGAAATCACAAGATATTATAAAAAATTAAAAAAATACTTACCTATTTTTACCATATTTTTTTCAAAATTTGAAAATTTTTCAAAAAAAATTAACAATTCACACTTGTTTCTTACGAATTTTTGCAAATCTAACACTCTAGGAATAAATATCCCGTATCTATTTTTCAAAGATACGATACGATATGCCCGCGTATCGGGCGTATCGTATTGAAATTTTAAACCTTGCTTCCCACTTGTATTTTGTTGAATAAAAACAAGGCCCTTAAACAATAGGATCCTTGAAACACGTTGTTAGGCATTTCTCTAAAAAATAGAGATTAAATAAATTGAATCTCATATAAACTATAAAGTGACAGCGTCCCATAAAGACTTTAATAAAACAACTACATGTTAAAAAAATAAATAAATGAATAAATAAATAAATGAATAAATAAATAAAACAACTACTATTGCTTAATCATGGACTAATTTAATTTCCCTAATCAACTAAAATACCCAATCCTAAGCTTACTGCATAGATGGTGGGATGAAATACATGTCTAGTTCTCCATCCTGAGGACAGGGTTTGGCAAGTAGAGGTGATCACAAGTGGGCCAGTCTGGGACCAGGTTCCCATGAAGTCTTCTATATAAGGGCCAAGCCTGGCCCGGCCCGGCCTGCCTTATGTAACCTTCTTTCTGGAGGGCCTGCACCCCTCTTTATGGTCGAACTTCATATATGATCAACCTTAAAACAAGTTGACTGCCGACACAACAGACCACCACCAGGTTGGCAGGTTTTCCACGAGGAAAGTGGAACAGAGAAACCAAGACAAGAGGTTGAAGCTACTGAATCAAGCCACAAACATGCATATAAAGAACCAAAGATTGTGACTGAAAAGTGGATTACTGACGCAGGAAATGAAACGTTGACAAGCATTTGGGGGAGATGGATTACAGTACTCCAAGGTGTGATGTGAATCATGTGATAAAGATTGAAGTGATACAAATGATATACACAGCCACCAGAAGAATGTATAAAAAAGGGTCAAACAAATGTTTCGTGTTGGTTACAAGCATTTGGGGGAGATGGATTACAGTTCTCCGAGGCTCTTCCCCAGATTGCTAATTTGAAGAATCATTTGCTAAATCTCAAGCACAGGCTCCGTTTGTTTTTGCACCCAGTATCATGGCCTTATGGAATAATATTTTCGTTGGTGTCTCTTTGTGGGCAGTCTCCAGGACCCCAGCTTAACAACAAACTGTATAACCACTACTAATTCATTTCCATCATAAACTTCATTGCTTTTGACCTTTACCCTTCTTGGACTTGCTCTTCTTTGCCTGCATTTTCTTTTTCTTTTCTTCAACTGTGGTCCAAGTATAATCTGTAGGTATCACAAATGGGTCTTGAATATCCTCTACCCGACTACTGGGGCCAGAACTCATGGAAGAATTATTACGGTGGTATAACCATTGAAGCCATGATGAACTTGAGGACTGCATTGTTGCAGGACTTTCTCGCCCTGCAGCACTTGGACTTGAAGGAGGTGTACAGAACTCATCCAAGGGCTGCAACTCCTCAAATTTTGTAAAAGTGACCAACACTCTGATTGTCGGAATTACTGGAATTGAGACCTGGATACAATTAAAGGTGATTTTCTTAGAAAATATATTGTAGCCATTTAGAATGATTTAAAGTAAAAATCATCAGCCAAGGTGGAGCATTCAAACAGAACACAAATTATTAGATTAGGAGTTTCGCAGATCATATAAGCACCCAGAGGCAGTAGAGAAGGTTGTGAAAGAACTCTTTTGTTCATAGATAACAAATATTTTTGCTCATAAAAAGGAGAACTGAGCAAATATACAGGGAAAATATTCCCAGGTTAAAAGTTTCAAGTTGTCAAAGACATTGGAATATGAAGAGAAATGCTTGCAACAGTAAGCATATACCAAAGAAAAGAAAAAAGGATGCTTGGCCAAAACTCCACCAGTATTTTTTTTTTTTTTGAAAAAGATGGTAACTTTATTCAAGAGGCAGGAGGTTTTGAGTTGTAATTTCTGTGTAAAACTTCACCAGTATAGTTTGCATTACTGCCAATTCTGAGCCCACAAAAAGGAGGGGGTTTAATTTATCAGGTTAGTAGCCAAAATAAAATCCTTGGCCAACAGAAAATGTCTGAAAATAAATAAAGCACTCCCATAGTAAGATACTGGTGGTTAAAACGCTGCCCCTTGTTATTTATGTTTTTGAACAGGTAAAAGTATGATGAATTTCAATAAAAATAGTACCTGTAAATACAAGATGCCTATGTATACCAGAGAATATACATCAGGGCACTTTTAAAACTTAAAAAAACTATGCTGTGCTATCTGTACATAAATGTGTAATTAAGAATATTTATAGTTTGAACTCCCCTCAATTCCTTGTAGACAGCTTTTCTAGGAATCACATCAAATGTTCTGCCCTCGTCTTCATACATTATCATTTTTCTCTAAACATATAAGCCAAATTATTGTATGAGAGACTATTCCTGTGCTACCTACCCTTTCTTGCCAAGTCCTTATCTGCTGAGAGTGGAATATAGCCCCTATTATTGCCAGTAAACACCAGCATACTCTCAACATCTCCAAAAAGTGTGACAATCATCATTGGTTTTGCTTCTTATATCTCATAATTCTTTAACACTATAAAACAATCAATAAATGATATTTTATGACTTATTTAATAAAATTTTCCCTAGTCCTCAAACATTTTTATATTAGTTGGTATGCACATAAACTCTTTTTCCAGAATCTCTTACTAATTTCTATTCAACCCCATGCATCACATGGGTTCATCAACAAGCGATATCTTCAGCAACAAGAAGTCCAGAAAAATTAGACATAATCCTTTAGATTTAAGGTGTAAATAATTGGATAATGGTCATTAAGACCGAGCTCCATTATTGTAATTCACTCATAAGCTAGACATCTTTACCAATACAACTGCAAAAAAGGGTATACCTATCTTTGGAAGGACCAACTCCACCAAAGATTATGGCATTTTGTTGGGAGATATTTCACCAAAAGATTAGTACTTTTGAGGTTATTCAAGAAAGAAGGCCCAACTAATGCATTTCTTCCCATATTTTTTTGTTGTGTATGACAAGTGGTGAAACTACCTGTCATCTGTCATTCTCCTACCCTTTTACTTGTATTATTTGGAGGAATTATCTTGATCTTTTCAGATGCAGGTAATGTGGACGCCGGCAGCAGCAGCAGTAATTTAGTGTTCTCAGTAGCAGCAATTTAGTGTTCTCATCCTATCTTATCTATTCAGTATTCTTGCCTTATCTGCTTTCAGTAGTAGGGATTAGACCTGTTCATGGGCCGGGTGGCCCGACGGGCCGCCCCGGCCCGGCCCCCGAACGGGCTTGAACATGGTTATAGGCCCGCGGGCTTAAATTCGGGCCAAAAAGCCCGGCCCACAACAAATTCGAGCCGGGCTCGGTTTTGTCAAAATAGCCCGGCCTGGCCCGACCTAATATTAGACTTAAAGTGAGTAATGTGATTATGTCCATTTGAATAAATTTTTTGATTTAAGAATGTAAAACTGTGTTTTAAAATATAAAAGAAAGGGGAAAAMACCATCTTGTAGGCCCATTGTTCATTTAAATAGGAAAAAAAAAACTATCTGAATTTTTAATTCTAATTTGAATAGGGAAATTTGTTTTTTTTTTATTAGGTCGAGCTTCAGGCTTTTTATCAGAGCCGGGCTCGGGCCCAAGTTATAGGTCCGTTGGTCGGGCCAGGCTCGGGCCTAGCATATTTCCCTTAATGACAAGTGAAAGCCCGGCCTGAGCCCGGCCCGAGCCCGGCCCGGCCCGGCCCATGAACAGGTCTAGTAGGGATTAGTAGGAGTCTTATCTATTCAATGTTCTTATCTTATCAGTTCAGTAGTATGGATTAGTAGGGAGTCTTATCTTATCTTATCAGTTTAGTAGGATAGATTAAGGGAGTCTTATCTTATTAGTTCAGTAGGATAGATTAAGGGAGTCTTATCTTATCTTATCTTATCAGTTCAGTAGGATAGATTAGTAGGGAGTCTTCCTAATTAGCAAGGAGTCTTCCTAAAAGNGATAGATTAGTAGGGAGTCTTCCTAATTAGCAAGGAGTCTTCCTAAAAGTAGGATTCTTATCTCTTGTAATCTCCTATTTAAGGAGCTGAGAATATTGAATAAAGGCATCGAAAATTTCAGTCAAGAAAGAGAGCAGAGGAGAGTTGGTGATCTCTTGAACAAATCACCATTAAGGTGCCAAGATAGGTTCCTCAAGAAAAGGGAGGAACAAGGGAAAACAGGGGGTTTTCCCGTGGACCGACCCGTGACAAGATCCTATTCGCGGGCCATAACAATTTGGTATCAGAGCAAGGCGTCATGGGTGACCTTGAGCAGTTGACGACTAGGGTGCATGAACTGGAGCACAAGCTCGTGAAAAACAGCACGGAGGTGCGCGAGATCAAGGACGATGTCCGAGAATTAAGGCGCTTGATGGAGTTGCACTTTTCCAGCAAGGAAAGGAACCCGGAAGGGGCTGCAACCACAACTAGCCGCCGGCTAGACATGGAAGAATCGTCCGGCGAGCAGTAGGTTGTTGCCCTAGCATAGGTTAGCAACACCCAAAATGTTCCGATTAAGCTGGAATCCGGTGTCGTCGAGGATTCCATCGACGAGAGTTCAAAGAAGAATAAGAGMAACTACTCCAAGGTCATCATCGCTGGTGAAGGAGCTTGTATGCCTCATGTTGCGGCTGCAAATGTTGCAAAAGAGTGTTTGTTAGCTGCAGCCAGATCAGATCCTAGGGCTGCACATATCTAGGTGAATCTTGCTAATGCATACTATTTGGCTGGTGATCATAGAAGTGCTGGAAAGTGCCTGGAGAAGGCAGAAAAGCTGGAGCCTAATTGCATGTCAACTCGATATGCTGTTGCGCTTCATCGTATCAAGGATGCAGAAAGGTCTCAAGATYCCACTGAACAACTTTCATGGGCTGMGAATGAAATGGCTTCAATACTCAGAGAAGGGGACTCTGCAACAGTTGA